TTAGATTGGCCTGCAAAGTCCCCTGATTTTTTCTCTATATGGGCCTTCCGAAGTCTACAGTCTAAACCCAGTAAGATTCTCTACAAGAAATTCGAAAAAATTGACAAAATTCAAAGTGAATTTTTCCCAATTACATTTCAAAAAATAAAGGCAACATCGCACAAAAACCCGACTTGACTGCACGTGGGGGGGAAACTTTACGAGCACCGCGGGGGTAAAGTGCGTGATGCACGGGGGGGAAGGAACCCTCCACCGGCACGGGCGAAATATAGGGGGGAAAACTTCAATTCGAAATTAATGGTTTCACACAGAGGTGAACGTATATCCTACCTTTAATTAAACTTTGCCCCGAAGGCAATTCCGTTCGATATAATATATGTTTGGCGGGCTGTCATCGGATGGTTTAGGGTTTTCCCAGTGTACTTCGCGTTCCGGGGTTTCCGCAAACGAATTAGCGGATAAGGCAGGATGAATTGTGCAAATATTTTCGGTGTAATTTAAGGCTTTACCTTAGTAATTAAATACCTGGATAACATTCAGGCCAATCCTGTCTCTATTGGGGTAACCGCAAGGTTGAAAACGACATTCGACATGATGGATATTGATTAACTTTTTGATTATGTTGATTTCCAGAAATTATAATTATGAGATTTTCAATACGATAGTAATAAAAGACCCAAATTGTATTTTTATTGAATTCCTAAATTTACTACCGCTTTTCAAATTACCAATAGAAAATTCGATCATGTCCGTAAAATGGGAAGCTCTCGTGAGAAATTAGACCAGGATAGCGACGAAATCAACCAAGAAATTGGAACTTCTAAAGAACTATAAGAAAATAATCTTTTCCTGGTGAACTTGCTAGAAAAGTGCAATCCATTAAGCACGATGGCATAAAACTTGATGAAAGGTTTTATAGGAGTTTTGTTATTGTATATAATATATCAAAGTTTTATTATCTTTAAGCTGTTGGTTGTGAATAAAATCTTTAATCCTAAAATAAACAACCAATATTTGACATCATAAAAATTCTAATCTCAAATACATAAATTTTCCCTTCTTCTATTAGCCTGAAGGCACTCCGTTCATCGATATATCACCGTAAAACTTATAAGCCTGCTATAACCGTTATAATCCGGGGCTCAAATCTCTAGTATTCATCTCCGATAAATTTAATCGGAGCCCTGCTCTGCGCGCCAGGGCAATTTATAATGGGACGAATTCAAATTGCCGTGATTAATGTGGATAATGAATTGTCCACTAATCGGATAATTCGTGCACGGGCATGTGACCAAATAGATATTGTACTAATTTCATTGAGCCACCGGAAACTGATAGGTAGGATATAATTTACCTCCAAGAAGATTGAACTAGATGATTAGATTCAAGGTGATTGATTTGGGGTAAAAATATGTTGAATAAGGTTTATTATTATGTCATTCATCGGTTACCCCTTATAATTAAATTTGGGTTGGTTATACAATCTCATCTAAACTTATATATGTATTTTATGGTGTAGCATAAACCTTTATTTATGACAAGGGATGACGGACAGCAAAAGTTTAACTAGTTTACAAAAGTTATAATTTACCATTAAAGTTCGTCAAAGGGAAACTTCTGGCTGGGAAATAATTTTGAAAGTTCTCATTTCCGGACTTTATGTTTAAAAGGTATAGGGTGTCAATTTGAAAACTTTGGCTCCGATGTCGAGATATTGACCAAATCCAATAAAATTCTTATCCATATTTAGAAGAGCCAAGTCGGTCCAATGAAGGAGTAGAAAGTGATGTTTTGCAATATGAAAACAACTTTTGGAGCACCACTATAGGCTTTTTGAAGACTCACATTATAACACACTCGGATATTTATCCTTTTGAATGTAACACTTGCAAAGCAAAATTTAAACGAAAGACCATTGGAAGAGTCACTTAATGACACATTCAGATATTCATCCTATTCAATGTGATACTTGCAAAGCAAAATTTAAAAAAAGAGGCAATTGGAAAGAGCACAATGTTAACACACTCGGATGTTCATCCTTTTGAATGTGACACTTGCAAAGTAAAATTTCAACAAAAAGACATTTTCAAGAGGCACTTTTTAACACACTCGGATATTTATCCTTTTGAATGTAACACTTGTAAAGCAAAATTTAAACGAAAAGACCATTGGAAGAGTCACTTAATGACACATTCAGATATTCATCCTATTGAATGTGACACTTGCAAAGCAACATTTTAAAAGAAGAGGCAATTGGAAACAGCCTATTTTAACACACTCGGATGTTCATCCTTTTGAATGTGACACTTGCAAAGTATAATTTCAACAAAAAGGCGTTTTGAAGAGGCACATTTTAACACACTCGGATATTTCTTTTTTTGGATGTAACACTTGCAAAGCAAATTTTAAACGAGAAGACCATTGGAAGAGTCTCTTAATGACACATTTAGATATTCATCCTATTGAATGTGACACTTGCAAAGCAAAATTTTAAAAGAAGAGGCAATTGGAAACAGCACATGTTTACACACTCGGATGTTCATTAGGGTTGACAAACTATCGGTAGTGATATCGATAGAATGGCTTACCTATCGATAGTAACTATCGATTGTACTATCGATAGTTTGCTCTGACCAAAATAACCAAATTTGTAATTAATTACGAAATAAATTTATCAAATGACAACAATAACATCATAACCTTAAATAATCATTAGGCAATCCAAACCACGTGACATTCAAGATGGCGTGGCGTCCACACATGAACCAAAAAACACAAAAAAAATATCTAGTTACTGCTCGACTTAATAGTTTACGTACCTAGTAAACAAATATTTTATTGAATAATCAAAATCTAAGCTGCAAGTAAAACCCGAAGCAAAATAATTAAAATATGCATGAAAACACATATTCAAAACAAACTTGCTGATCACCACGCCATATTGAATTTTTCGTTTTGACAGATGGATTGGATTGCCTACTCAACTTCCAACCTCCATCAGTCACTCGTCACTCCTCCTAGACTAAAAATTGAAAATTGGCAGCACAGCATGTCTACCCCTAAAAATAATTACAGATTTCTCAAAACAGCTACAGATTTCTTTATATTTCCCTCAATTTACAGATGTCTTCATTTACCTTTGGCTACCTACTTTTGGAACTATCGATATTGTTACAGCTCTATCGATACTATCGAAAAAAAATATCAATAGTATCGATATTCCTATCGATAGTTTGTTATCCCTAATGTTCATCCTTTTGAATGTGACATTTGCAAAGTCAAATTTCAACAAAAAGGCGTTTTGAAGAGGCACATTTTAACACACACGGATATTTATCCATTTGAATGTAACACTTGCAAAGCAAAATTTAAACGAAAAGACCATTGGAAGAGTCACTTAGGGCCGAATTTATAGTCGCTTCTTGAGGTTTCCTCAGACCTTAAGGGAGCCTTGAACGTTTAGAATTGACATGACTAACTTGTCAAATAGTAGCAAGTGTCCATTCTAAACTCACGACCTCCAAGGAAGACTCAAGGAACAACTATAAATTCGGCCCTTAATGACACATTCAGATATTCATCTTATTCAATGTGATACTTGCAAAGCAAAATTTAAAACAAGAGGCAATTGGAAACAGCACAATGTTAACACACTCGGATGTTCATCCTTTTGAATGTGACACTTGCAAAGTAAAATTTCAACAAAAAGGCATTTTCAAGAGGCACTGTTTAACACACTCGGATATTTATCCTTTTGAATGTAACACTTGTAAAGCAAAATTTAAACGAAAAGACCATTGGAAGAGTCACTTAATGACACATTCAGATATTCATCCTATTGAATGTGACACTTGCAAAGCAACATTTTAAAAGAAGAGGCACTTGGAAACAGCACAATGTTAACACACTCGGATGTTCATCCTTTTGAATGTGACACTTGCAAAGTAAAATTTCAACAAAAAGGCATTTTCAAGAGGCACTGTTTAACATACTCGGATATTTATCCTTTTGAATGTAACACTTGTAAAGCAAAATTTAAACGAAAAGACCATTGGAAGAGTCACTTAATGACACATTCAGATATTAATCCTATTGAAGGTGACACTTGCAAAGCAACATTTTAAAAGAAGAGGCAATTGGAAACAGCACATGTTAACACACTCGGATGTTCATCCTTTTGAATGTGACTCTTGCAAAGTATATTTTCAATAAAAAGGCGTTTTGAAGAGGCACATTTCAACACACTCGGATATTCATCCTTTTGAATGTAACACTTGAAAGCAAAATTTAAACGAAAAAACCATTGGAAGAGTCACTTAATGACACATTCAGATATTTATCCTTTTGAATGTAACACTTGTAAAGCAAAATTTAAAAGAAGAGACAACTGGAAACAGCACATGTGTTACCCAGAAATAATAAATGTCTGGGCGGAAATAATGGGTGATACTATTGTTGGACCTTTATTCATTATTGGTAATCTTAATGGCGATGCATACTTTGAAATGTTTGACACCATTCATCCTCTTATTGTTGAAGAAATAGAAAATTAGTTATATTTGAATGGGGATAAGAACCTAAACGAAGATTTAATATATTTGCAACAAGATGTAGTGCCACTCGACTATGTTCTTCCTGTGAGGCAATATCTGAATGAAACGTTTCCAGATCAGTGGATTGGGAGAAGAGGTCCAATGACGAGATCATCAGATCTAACTCCCCTTGACGTTTTTCTCTGGGGTCACTTGAAAACTGTGGTGTTTAAAACGCAACCTGCTTCACTCGGTGATCCTATATATTCCTATATATTTTTATTTTGCCCAAAATGGAATGCATTCCTCGATAGTATAAATAGGATGCTTTCCAATAAAAACTTTTTCTGACAGAGTTGTATATGAGAATATTGGTAGTTTTTTTTTAGTGTTATAATTTTCCGACGAAAACTACCACAAATTGTACACTTTTCCAAAAAAAACCCAACAGTCATCGCAAATCCTTACCTGCAACTTGTAAAGTAGCATTTCTACTAGTAGCCGTTCCAGCTAGATTTTTAGCGACACACCAATAAACTCCCGCGTCCTGTTCCTTTTTGCTGTTCATAGTCCTTAGAAAAAACAAGGATCCTGTTGGCAATAGGACGCGATGCGACTTGTTATCAGTGGGAGAAGTTTTAACAAGTTCTCCATCCTTATACCATTCGATGTCAGGATCTGGTTTGCCTTCGGCTTTGCAATTCAGAGTCACTGGTTCATTTTTGGCCACTATTATATCGGATGGGTGTTCCGTGATGCGTGGTGATCGGTAATGACCTGGAAAGAAAAAAATTAATTGAGTTTTCCCCAATAAAATTGGTCACTGTTAACCCACAAACTAGGTAATTTATTTGAAATGCAAATAACCCTTAACTCCCTCTTTAAGAAAATAATGACAGTAAATTAGGCTCAATATTGATTAAAAAAGAAAATTGCCAACATACTACACAGCGTGATTTTGTACAACGCTGGGTAAAACCTAATAATATTTTTAATCTAGAAAGATGAAAATAAGTCGTAAATGTTTATGAAAATGCGAGAGAAAGAGCGAAAGCTCGAAATTAAATCGCCCTGTGTTTTAGGGGGGAACGAAGATAAATAAATTAGAGGAACGCAGGCAGGGGAGACCCAGGCCACGAGAAGAATGAAAAGTTTGTACATCAAAGAGGCAACTCGGAGCCGGGGCAATAGCTTTTTATAATGTATTGGGCTCTATGAAAACCGGCGTCAAGAGTTTTAATCAAGAGGGAAATGAACTTTTGGCTTTACGTGAGGAAAGAATAACAGCGTCAAACAAAAATAATGGATATTTCATGAAAAAAAAAATAACGGAAAATATGTTGACAGAATAGGGTTTTGAAAAAAAAGTTAAAGCAATGATTGAGCTGACAACTACCAGCAGGGAAACTTCTGGCTAGGAAATAATTTTGAAAGTTCTTATTTCTGGAATTTATGTTCAAATCGTACAAGGTGTCAATTTCGAAACTTTGGCTCCGATGTCGAGATATTGACCAAATCCAATACAATTCTTATCCATATTTAGAAGAGCCAAGTCGGTCCAATGAAGGAGTAGAATAGGCGATTCGAAGACTCACATTTTAACACACTCGGATATTTATCCTCTTGAATGTAACACTTGCAAAGCAAAATTTAAACGAAAAGAGCATTGGAAAAGTCACTTAATGACATATTCAGATATTTATCCTATTGAATGTGACACTTGCAAAGCAAAATTTAAAAGAAGTGGAAATTGGAAACAGCACATGTTAACACACTCGGATGTTCATCCTTTTGAATGTGACACTTGCGAAGTAAAATTTCAATAAAAAGACCATTGGAAGAGTCACTTAATGACACATCCAGATATTCATCCTATTAAATGTGACACTTGTAAAGCAAAATTTAAAAGAAGAGGCAATTGGGAACAGCACATGTTAACACACTCGGATGTCCATCCCTTTGAATGTGACACTTGCGAAGTAAAATTTCAATAAAAAGACCATTGGAAGAGTCACTTAATAACACATTCAGATATTCATCCTATTCAATGTGACACTTGTAAAGCAAAACAAAATTTAAAACTTCTGGCTTTACGTAAGGAAAGACTAACAGCGTCAACAAAAATAATAGATATTTTATGAAAAAAACGGAAAATATGTTGACAGAATAGGGTTTTGAAAAAAAAGTTAAAGCAGCAAATTATTGAGCTGACAACTACCACCCTATAACGCATTGGTTGTTCAATGACTGCTTGAACCCAAGCATTTTCAAATTCTTGTATTGAATTGACCAAGAAAAGTAGCTGCTGTTTCATGTTACGTCACTTGCTAAATAAGGAAGGAACTACTTGAACTTGGTTGAATCAAATATGTCTCTCCATCTTCTGGTAGGATGCAAACTTTGTGCCGGTGCATGAAAAAGTCTCTGATATCCGATCTCATCAATTTAAGTTTCAATCTACTTACTGGTCAACTGTGTGGAACCGGGCTATTAATACCATTAAAAAAAATTAAAGTCGTGCCAAGAATGAAGAAAATTATCATACTTAATTGTCCGAGCTATTTAGATAAATTAGAGCCGTTTACCGGAGGCATAAAAGCATTATAACATTTCTCACAAGGATGTCGTATATTTTGTGCAAGATATGCTCCATTAATTTCACTGATATCAAGCCTGAAAACGACAATTATTATGTAAATGCTAGGGTAATTAATAGCTCTTGACAATGTGGCAGGATATATTTCAAGTAATCAAATATTTATCTAGATTAGTAAATAAGTATTTTATCGTTAATAAAACTCTAATAAATTCATACGTAATATAAAAGTAAACAATTTTATATACAAGAAGAACATCAGAAAGTACACAACTACGCTTTTTGGAATCTAGATGCTGAGAGCGCACATGTGCTTTTCTCGAAACGTCTTGTTGACGATAATATGGTAACTGGATGCATAGAAAAGTATCGAATAAACAGAAAATGGAGAAAGCTTCCTCGGAAATTCAGTTAGCTTTTAGTTAGGTATATTTTTACAAACTTTGCATCTTTATGGAATGGAAGTAAACACGAAAAGTCGAATGTTTTCTATTATTTATGATAAGTACATGATCTACGTGAAATATAAATGTATTTTGATTATCAAATTATTAGTTAGATAATAATTAATTGTCTGTATTCGGCATTCTAAATGGAAATAATTAGTTTCAGGATTCGGTACAAGTGAAAATAATTAGCGGCGTATCAGATAAATAACGAAATACAGCTTCGCGTTTGGGCGTTCCAAAATGTACAACTTAATCAGGGGATTAAAGGATAGTTTTCCTTTTATAAGGCAGGAAATTTTGGGGTATAAAAATATTTCAGTTCACCATAACGAAATTCAATCTGGGGTCTCTCGATATAATCCCCCTTCTCAAATTTCCATCTTTCAAAAATAAACCCCCTCATTATATAACAGTAACTGCATATGCCGCCACCCTTTTTCTCTATTCACTATTCACACCCTTTGGTGTACGTGTCCCGATATAGTTAAAACTCCGCTAATTCCTAATTGGTGCCATCAATAACTCAAACGTCACTGGACGAATTGTCTGGCCATTCAATTTTGGCAAACGAAATAGACTTGGTAAGTGACGTCACACGTGCCTGGGATCATCCTGTGCACGTGCGTTTTTACCCACACTCAGGGATTGTTTACATAGGACCTGGATTAGGGCTTAAAGCCAGAGGACGGAAAAATCTACTTTTTGGAATAATTTTGCATAATTTTCTATAGTGTGTTTGTTCAGCTAGCTTAACTTAATTTTTGAATATTTTCTTTGCAAATTAATCTTTGCGTGTGGAGCTCAATCAATTTCCAACTCCAACCAACAGAATAATAAATGAACAAACTTTTTAATTGAATCATTTTCCCGAAGAAACAAACAAGGTAAAGCAAAAAGGGAGTATAGTATAAACAAACACAAATTAATTTACTCGTTGAAACTTTTGGATTTAATTAAAGCATTAAAATTAAACCATATAGGTTAGAATTGACTTTTGAGATAGAATCTTTCGAATATCATTAAAATAAAATAAATGGCATCATGATCATCATTCAAATTAAAACATAACATCGTCGGTACCTGTGTCTTTCAATTGTCAACAGCTGCTTGTTTTCGTATTAATTAGTTGTGTAAATTTGCTCTTCTCATTGTTTGCCAGCGTCAAACATTGTTTTCGATTATATCTATAACCCTGTTTGTATAGGCTATTCGCAAACTCCATTAATTAGTATTTTACCAACATGTAGGTATGTGTAAATCGGGTCCTGGTACACGATGTATCCACTATGTTGGCCAATTGGCATAATCGTGATTCTTGTTTTAAGATGATGTTTGTTCAGGTTCAATAAGGATATTTTCCACAACAATTACTATATTTAGTTAGATAGTTGGGTTGACATCTATTTCGTTTATTAAATCTGCAATATATTCAATTAAATGGAGTCAAGCTTTGTCTGAAAATGCGGTTTAATTTATGCAAGAAAGTGTATAAGTACGTATATGCTGGAACCAGCAACAGAGAAATCCCGAAAAATCGTAGTGTCAAGGCAACAAAAGGAAGAAATCAAATAGGCCAGGAATGCCACGATTTTTTTATTGAGGGTATCAGGGAGCAAAATTTACACAAAGAACAAAAATTAACCTTGAGCCAGCATAGACTTTAAACTTAAATACTAAAACATTTAACGTGTACAAATAACTTTATAAACTATTAGGCAGCATATTACCTATTCCAACAATGGCAGAAATGTGAAAAATGTAGGAAATGCTGTTGACATACCGGAGAGTTATTTCCTAAATATGAAGAAAACAACAATAATCAGCATCCCACAAGGAAAAGAGCCAAAACTTTGAGTCAACAAGAAACCAACTGAAGGAGATCGCGAACCATTGCTGTATCTGTTACCGTTTACGAGATCCCCATTATAGACATTCTTATCTTGGACACCCTGTATAACTGCTATTTTCTAATCAAGGACGATGAAAATTTCATTTCCATTCCAAAATCAGTGACATGAGCCACGCTCAAGGGATAACCATAATGTACAATATTATTCCAGTTTAATAACCAAATATAATAACATCATATTCAATGTAATCCAAATAATGTATTTAACTCACTTGTGATCATCAATCACTCTCGGAGCACTGTCCTTCACATACACAAAGTTTTGTACAAGGTAATCCCATTTTAACACATTTACAAGATGTGCATCGCTTTCGACAAGCACAGGCGGTAAATTGTACACAGTATTTCGGCATTGTTGTCCACACAGGTTGGTATGATCCTCCTGAAGTTAGTATCCATCCTCAGTTAGTTCGTGAAGGTATTGTGTATTGTGAATCGAAGGTGTAGTAGTGACGGGGGCACCTGAGCCTGGGAAATTTTTCGATACCGTGGGAAAATCTCTAGATCGGCGGCGCTTTTGATCTGAAATTCCGGGGGTTTGACCCGAGCCAACCCCCAAATTTTTGGGGGTTTTCTCGGAATTTGACTGCAGCTCCTTCAAATCGTAGTTATGTCCAAATAATTATGAAACGTAACGGGGGCTCCTGAGCCTGGGAAATTTTTCGATACCGTGGGAAAATCTCTAGATCGGCGGTCTTCTCATTCAGCTTGGTACTTTTTCATTCCCAGGTTTGCCAGATTCTTGCTTGGAGAGCAGCTCATTTGATGTGTTGTTTTAAAGCATCTGCAGTAGGGTGAATATTTTTGATTGCCCGATTCTTTC